CTGCGCAGTGCAAGCAAATTTAATAACATGCTTGCATTGTGTTTCCTTGCAACTTGTCTCTGGTGTCTCTATAAATGGATACCAGGAGACAAAAGGGTCAGGAAAGAGTATTGTGCATGTGTTTTGGAGCCTGCTTGGGGTATTGCGTGTGTGCAGAGTGAGTTGGTCGTGGTGTGGTATTGTGTAATAAGGTCGGTTTTAGTCGTGTTGTGTTTGTGGTGTAATGTGATGCATATGTGGCTATGGGTTGTAGAGAATGTGTGTATTGGGGATATAGCAAGTGTGTGCATACAGGCTATAGTGTGTGTGTGTGTTTAGGGGTGTAGTATGTGTTTGCTTACAAGGAATCTAGTGTGTGTATAGGGGATCCAGAGTGTGTATGTTAAGAGTGTAGTGTGTGTGTGTGTGTGTGTGTGTGTGTGTATATATATATATATATACATATATATATATATATATTTGGAAGTATTGTGTATGTGTGTGGTGCAGTGTGTTGGGGGGGTTCTGTGTGTATGTGAGGGGTGCAGTATGTGTGTGTGTGAGAGTGTTGTGTGTGAGTGATGGGTGTGAGAGTGCTGTGTGTGTGAAAGTGTGTGTGTTAGTGTCAGGGCTGCCATCAGAAATGTTGGGGCCCCTGACACAGCTCAAGGTCTGGGTCCCCCGGTGCCTGCACCCGAGTCCGCCCAAAGTGCTGCCCCCCCCTGTGAGAGAGTGCTGTGTGTGATGGGTGTGAGAGTGATGGGTGTGATGGGTGTGAGAGTGCTGTGTGTGTGAGAGTGCTGTGTGTGTGAGAGTGTGATGGGTGTGAGAGTGTGATGGGTGTGAGAGTGCTGTGTGTGTGAGAGTGTGATGGGTGTGAGAGTGCTGTGTGTGATGGGTGTGAGAGTGCTGTTTAAATGTTATTGTGTGTGTGTGTAGGGGGGTAAATAAACAAAAACAGGCGTTAAATCCTTCCTCAATTCTTACCTTTAGCCTGGGAGGGGGGGACCGGCACGCTGGTACCTGGTACTGGGAGGCGGGGTGGCAGTGTTCCCTGGTGGTCCTCGTGGGTGAGTGAACTCTAGCCCGCATAGCCTGTGGGGCTAGAGTTCACTCTCGTGAGATCCGGTCGTTGCCATGGCAACGTGCCGGATCTCGTGAGAGGAACCCGGCGGAGCTGCAAGTTAGAGCTCTGCCGGGTCCTCCTCTCCTGGCTGGCTGGCTCCCTCCCTCTCTCCCCGCCGGCGGCCAGATCTGACAGCATGTGGGCCGGTGAGGGAGATCTTTGATCTCCCCACCGGCCCTCCATGGAAAACAGCAGAGCCGGCGCTCGGATAGCGCCAGCCCTGCAAAGACCGGCAGGGGAGATCCTGGGACCTCCCCTGCCGGGCTCTGCCCATGGCCACCGCGGCCCACGGGCATTTGCCCTCCGTGCCCGATGGCCAGTCCGGGCCTGGATCCACTACAGATCGCTCAAAGGTAGGGAGGCCGGGTGGACACCCATTAAGGACACATGACGTGTGGGACATGTCATGATTCCCTTTTATTCCAGAAGTTTGGTCCTTAAGGGGTTAAATAAAAATAATACATACATAATCATTTGTGAGTGTATGTATATGTAAATGATTCTAAGTCTGTGTCTGTCTGTCAGTGTGTGTCAAAGTGGCAAGATTGTGTGTCAGTGAATGTGTGTGTTAGTGTCAGGGCTGCCATCAGAAATGTTGGGGCCCCTGACACAGCTCAAGGTCTGGGTCCCCCGGTGCCTGCACCCGAGTCCGCCCAAAGTGCTGCCCCCCCCCCCCGAAGGGATGCAGTGTCTACAGGGCCGGTGCAAGGATTTTTGCCGCCCTAGGCAAAAGTAAAGTTTGCCGCCCCCCATGTGACATCACAATGCCCCACCCATGTGATCTGCCATGTTAACTAACAGCAGTGCTGCAGTGCCGCCGTGTTTACATTAAAAGGCCTGCAGGGACAGGCTAGACACCAGAACCACTACATTAAGCTGCAGTGGTTCTGGGAACTATAGGGTCCCTTTAATGTGAGGTAAATTAGAGATTAGTGCTACGAATAATATACTAGATTGCCTACTTACAACCAGATGAGGATGATGAAGATGGGCTCTAGCTGCCGTCTGGCTCCACTGGTCTGGTGTACAACAGGCTCTCTGGAGGCGGTTTGTAACTGGTCACAAAAATCACTGTTCTGGGAGAACTGGAAGCAGCTCCATTTTTTTGAGGGCCCTTTACACAGCTCAATGTCTGGGTCCCAGGGTCCACCTTCATGTTCCACCAATGAGTTTGTTCACAGGGAGTGGAGTGTGTGTGTGTGTGTGGGGATGTCCTGATGTGTGTAAGGAATGCATTGTGTGAATCTGTGTAAGGGTTGCAAGATGAGTTTGTGTATGTATGGGATGCAGTGTGTGCGTCTGTAAGGGATGCATTGAGTGTGTGTAAGGGGTGCATTGTGTGTTGCTGTGTGTAAGGGATGCATTGCTTGTGTACGTGTATCTGTGTGTAATGCATTGTGTGTTTTTCTGTGTGCAAGGGGTGCATTGTGTGTGATGGATGTCAAT